GCCCCCCCCCCCCCAATATTTCATAAAGTTTCCGCCACTTGCACACACGGTGGCTTAAAAGGTCTTAAAACTGTTTATTCTACCGATAAATAAAGGAGTTTTTATTGACTGGGATTTCAATAACTCGGACTGGGATTTCTAATAAAAATCCAACTGGAACTGGGATTTGGCCAATATTTCAGGTGGAAAATGGGATTGGGACCCCAACCCCCACTTCACGACCCTCACTATAGGCTAATGACTCGGCAAAATTACCAAACAACAGTCTGCAAAAGATTACTCACACCCCACACCCCCCCACTCGAAGAGGGTTAGCGCCGCCCCTGTGTAGGCTAGTATGCTCGGTATGCTGTGCCATATTATAGCCTAGATGGCCAACAATATTGAATCTCAGAGCAAGCGAAAACTCGAGCGAAAACGCGAATAGAGTCGTAGGATTTTTACTCGTACTAAAATTCCCTCACTGAGTGTCAGTTTAATTTACAGTTTAAACATGGACGAATAGACACACATGCATGCGTTGAAACATCATTTATATATACAACTTACATGGCTTATAATTATATTTGTTTGTATTTTTGTCATTTTAATTGAGTGAAAGGTTCACACGCTAAAGAGTAAAGGTTTTTTATCCATCGCCGCTTATAAAATATTTCGTGTGAGAAAGGATCAATATTAAAGAAATGTCTGTATTAAAGTGATGCTAAATACCAACTTCGAACGAGAATTGAAAATTATCCTTTTGCACTTCAAGAGTAGCTATTAAAGTCGGTAAAAACAAGAAAGCCAATCAACTGTTGTTACTTTAATATTTTGATTGTCATGTTTTTACTAACAAACAAAGTTGGGCCATTTAATATTCTCACCAAATAACAATTCTAGGTTTGATTTCTATTTTTCGGGCAAATATTTATTACTTTGAGACTGATTTCTGCGAGGATTTCTGTTCGATATTAGTAGCTATCGGTCAGAAAGGCACGTTTTACGCAATAATTATTGCAGCAATATTCTCACACAGCCCGGTATTTTTTTCCGAATTTTTAACAAATTAAGAATTTTTAGTGTTCAAGTGTTCCCTGTTCCGGAATGATGCTGTTCCGCTGTTCCGGTGTTCCGTGTTCCGGTGTTCCGTGTTCCGGTGTTCCGTTGTTCCGGTGTTCCTGGTTTTACTAATAGCCAAAGACAGATCACTCGACTAGTTTTCTCTCAGTTTGAATTTGATCCTCGATCTTTGATAAGTATTACCGTTAGTCATTCCACAATTTGTTGAAAGAAAGCTCGTAGAATGCGTAGTTAATATATACCCAGTCTCAAATCTCACTAGCAAAGTTTTATTTATCATAATAATATAAAAACTCGAGAACGTCGTGCCATCGCGCTGCCATGTTTGACAAAATCAATCGGCTCCGCTTCCCCCGGATTGAAAAGTAAATTATTACGAAATGTCCAATGTTTTTGGACACACGTGACCAGTGCTTACCAGGGCATTTTCTTCCCGTACCAGTGCCTCTGAACCGCGCAAAAACCCTGGGTACGAGGTTGCAACATAAGTGAATTTTGTCTGCGCATGCGCGAGAATCGTTCCGTGCTATTGAAAATGGCGGACTTTAAAGGATTTGTAAGTTTTGTCATGGTTTTTATTAAAAATATAGACTCAATTTTTGTTCGATGTTTCAGAAGTCGTGTTAATCCTATGCAGGTAAGGGTATTAGTTTTAGTACAGTTGAATTTTTTCCTAAATTCATGGTTTTTCGTTTAAATTTTCGTCATTTGCTCGACACAATGCTTGTCTTTGTAGCCCCCATTTCTATAGTCATTTGAACTTAATATATTCTAATAATAAATATTAGAGCCCAGCAAAGTGCTTTTAAAAGAGCCATAAACCATTAATTTTATTTTTTTTTAATAAAGATTTAGTAACGTTTCGTCTTAACTTAAGAAATCTTCAGAATATATATAATTACAAGCTGTAAGAGTAATTAAGCATAAATTGAAGCTATATAGCAATATTAAATTACATGAGTGTATGAGGTACACAAAACATAAGGATAAGAAAGGGTAATGAAGGGAAGTGACGAACAAAAATGAAAACATACAAATTGGACGGCAACACATACAGGAAAAACATAAAAGAGAGAGAGAGATCAGAATAGGTGGAGAGGAATTGAACTGCCTTGAACGTTGAGAGAGGTTTCATTTTAGAGATAAGTAAGCTTTCATGAATAAGGAGTTGTTGGTCATCTGAACAAGACGAGAGGATTTCAAAGTCGTCAATAGGGGCAGTGTGGCCTGTGGATGTAAGATATGAGAAGATTCTGGACTGGGGAGGATTTTTACATAGTTTACCAGTGATAGGAGTGATACCCGAAACTCGGGTGTGTAGATGGCGCGTGGTTTGACCCACATACGATGCAGAACAGCATCGACACGTAAAAGAGTACACTACACCCGACTTCAGAGCTTTGGGTATTTTGTCCTTAAAAGAGAAAAAGGTGGAAAGCCATTTAGTTGATCGAAAGACAAATCTTGTATCAAGATGTATGAAAGCAGCACGACAAAGACGGTTGATTTGCGTGCGAATTTGCAAGGAGTGAGTGCCCTTAATTTGATTTGCAAGGAGTGAGTGAGCTTAATATGTAAGTTATTCACTAGGTTGTTTGGCGTGTTTTCTTGTTTTAAATAGGTTTTATAATCTTTCTATGTTTGGGTGTTCTTGAATAGTATGAGTAATTAATGAAAATAATGAAACTTTACTGCCATAATTTTTGGATCAATATGGCTGTGTGCATTTGGTTGAATAGAGATCTTGTAGTAAACGCTATCCCTTTGCTTGAGGTTTAAATTTTCCCGAGTAATATATTTCCTGCCAATTTTTTTGCTACTTGCTCGTACAGGTTGTATTAAGTGTTAAAAATGTAGCAAATCCCTGATTCCTGTCATTTACAAATATATTGATGCAATACTGGGTCTGTGAGGAGAACCCAAATTCCAAAATATATAACAAACTTCTATTTGTGTGTGGCGATAAAAATATCAAAAGTGAGTCATACAAACTTTCCTATTTTTTTTCTACAAATTGTGTTAGGTCCCATGATGAACAGAACATTAAGTTTCAAAGAAAAAATATTTGGAAAAGGGTACTTTTAGCACAATCATGTCCTGAGCAGTCCATGCTCCAAGCACATATGGGCCTACCTGATGGTAAATTGTAAAAATAGTTTTATTAAGTATTGGCGAGTTTTCAGTCTGTGATAATGTTTAGTTGTAAAACAAGGTGTTATTCCATTGTTTTAAATTTACAAGATTTAACGTTCAGGTGAGGTATGTATCTGAACAAAAATATTGTGAAGATTACCATTTCTGGTCACAAATGTTAATTTATGGGGTTTAATTGACCTTCAATGTCAATAAATAAGAATTCTTAAAAATCTGCGCATACAAACTTCAATAAAACAGCATATGTTCTTCCTAATTATCTGTCTCACAACTTAAAATTGTTTGATCATCTTGAAAAGTTTGGAAAAGTGCTCATTTTTAGCATCATAATGTAAATTAGATATACAACCAGAATATTCATTTTTGACTTATTGGGTAAAAGAAAGAGCCACCAGTGCAGTGGGAAATGTTGACCAGTCAGACTTGTTCTGTTTGGTCATACAAACCATTCTGCTATGAGACTGGCAGTCTGGCACATTGAATCGTTTCAATTCTCAAATTTGTGCGAGATTGTCTTTGACTCTACCCAATAAGTCGAGAATGAATATTCTGGCTGTATATCTAATTTACATTATATGATGCTAAAAATGAGTACTTTTTCAAATTTTTCGAAACGTTCAAACAATTTAAGCTGCCAGACAAATGATCAAGAAGAGCAAATGCTGTTTTAGTGAAGTTTGTATTTGCAGATATTTAAGAATTCATATTAATTGACCTTGAAGGTCAATTAAACCCCATAAATTAACATTTGTGATCAGAAATGGTAATCTTAACAATATTTTTGTTCAGATACATACCTCACTTAAACATTAAATCTTTATTAAACATTAAATCTCTATTTAAATTATTATGTAAATTTAAAACAATGGAATAATACCTTGTCCTACAACAAAACATTATCACTGAAAACTCACCAATACTTAATAAAAAAATTTTTACAACTTACCATCAGGTACGCCCTCATGTGCTTGGAGCATGGGCTGCTCAGGACATGACTGTGCTAAAAATACCCTTTTCCAAATGCTTTTGCTCTCAAACTTGATGTTCTTTCCATCAAGAGACCTGATACAATTTGTAGAAAAAATATGGGAAAGTTTGTATGACTCACTTTTGATATTTTCATCACCACGCACAAATAGAAGTTTGTTATATATTTTGGAATTTGGGTTAATTATTATTTTAAAAAATTAAACCTAAAGCAACAGTATAGGGTTTACTACAAGATCTCTATTCAACCAAATTCACACAGCCATATTAATCCAAAAATTATGGCAGTAGATTTTCATTATTTTTATTAATTACTCATACTATTCAAGAATATTCAAACATAGAAAAATTACAAACCTATTTAAAACAAGAAAACAAACCAAACAAGCGAGTAACTTACATATTAAGCTCAACTGACTATAGAAATGGGGACAACAAAGGTAAGCATTGTGTCCAGCAAATGACGAAAATTTAAACGAAAAACCATGAATTGTGGAGAGAATTAATCTGTAATAAAACTAATACCCTTACGTGTAGGATTAACACAAATTCTGAGAGATCGAACAAAAATACAGTTCATATTTTTCATAAAAACCATGACAAAACTCACAAGCCCTTTAAAGTCCGCCATTTACAATCTCACGGAACGATTCTTGCGCATGCGAAGACAAAATGCACCTATGTTCGTAAGCACACCTCCAGAAAGTTAACACTATGACTCTCTCGGTTGAATTTTAGCCACCAGAATAGTGCAATCTGCTTTATCGATTTCTACTTTCGTGCAGTAAGGGACTGCTCATTATTTATTGTACAGGGGGAAACTAAGGAGAAACTCTGCAGTTATAATATTCTTTGTCCCTTTTTAAGACAAGTGAAATTTTCGAAGCGCAACCCCCCCCAGGCAAAACAATAACATAAATTGTGGTCCTCCCTCTAGCTCTTTATCTTTATTTAGAGAAACAAAATCTCTAGTTTTTTATTTAGAGAAACAAAAATAGATAATGGGGACCAATAGACAATTCCCCATTATAGACTATATTTTATCTTAGCAAAAAAAGTATATTCCTTGGAAGGGCATTCTAAAGCCACTCCTGAAAGGTCATGCACCTCCCCTTGCAACATGAGCTCCACCTTTGAATTTACTATATGAGTAAATTCTTAAACACGTCCGAATTTATTATTTTGATAAATTCGCGGCACATCTTGAATTTATCAATAGAGCTAATCATAAAACCACAAGCATTAGACAAGATTTTTTGTCCCCGATTTGTTGTTAAGTGGCTTTGCGTATATGAAACAACTAAACAAGACAGCATATAATTTCAGTGTATTAATAATATTGATTCCCTTTTTTATTAAGCGTATATTGAATTTATTAAATAAAAAAGAAAACAAAATTATTTGCATGCGAGAATTTGAAATCATTTTATTGCAAACTCAAAGTTTATCGATAAAGCCATTTTAATGATTAAAGGCAGTTTTAAATAGTTTTATAAAGAACATTTTAAAACGTTTTGCGAAGCTTTTGTGGTTGAATTTTACCTTGACTTGAAGCTTATATTACGTATTATAACATACCCAACATATATATGTTGGGAAATTGATAATTTTGTAATTAAAAGTGATATTTTTAGGCGATTTTTCATTTGTAAGAATATTCTTAAAAAAATATCGTGTTACCATGACAACAACTTTGGAATGGTTTTGTCAGCAAGGCGAGGGTTTCTGCATGCATGTATTTTCTAGTTATAAATGTAACAGCACTAAAAGTGAGGCTGGTCGCGCGGGCGGTGGGGAGTTTTTAAAAATTTAGATTTTTAAAAAAGTTAAAAAAAATTTTAAAAGTTAAAAAAGTTAGGGTTAGGGGGTTAGTGGTTAGAGGTCAGTGGTTAGGGTTAGTGTTAGGTGCCGCGAATTTATTATTATACTAAATTCAAAATTTGCCTCGAATTTATCATAATGATAAATTCGGACGTGTTTAAAAATTTACTCATATAGTAAATTCAAAGGTGGAGCTCATGCTGCCCCTTGGGAATTAGTTTCAATGATGGAACAAAGTAAAAATATGATGGTTGTTTAGGATCTACACTTCGTGACGTAAGAAAGTTTTCTCTGCAAAATTGATTCCATTCATTTCTGTGTCAAGTACCCTTTTAATCAGCAATGTTTTGAAAGAAACTTTGTAGCAATTGTAATGATTAGGGCAAGATTGGAGTCATACATTCATACTTCACTAATATACTGCTACATATGTACACTACCTCTTTGATATTGGCCTGTACGTTCTACAATAAGCCCTAACTTTGCATGGGGGTTGGGAGCTAGACCGCTGCACCTCCTCTAACATTTTTTTCTACTTCCCGAACTATTTTCACCAAAATCCGGCCTTAATTTGCATCTCTTTGCCTAGTTTTGAAATTAGTCTATAATGGGAATTGTCTGAACATAAGAGACTTTTTATTTGGCTTCCGTTTATAAATATTAAAGGTCTGTAAACATTGTTATTTGTTGTTAAGTTGTTTTGTGGTACACAGGGACGCCGGAACTGGGGGGGGGGGCAGGAGGGACAACTGCCTCTCTTGCCTTTTGCTAGGGGGGGCAAGCGGGCAGAAGTGCCTTTCAGTTGTAAAATACTACTTGATACATCACATTTCCAGTGATGCTTTTTCGGGCAAAATCATGAGATTCAGGTAATTTATAGGCCCAGAAAAAGCTAGTTTACAAAAATAAGGGTGAATTTGGAAAATAATGAGGTAAATTAGAAAATTTTTAGATTTTAGAAAAAAATTTTCGATAAATGGAGAAAATTGCTGAAGTCCGTTAAAATTTATTTACGTCACGGAAAATTTTGGTATTTCCGGAAAAAAAATTTGATCCCTAAAATGGTACACTGACCTAAAAATGATTTCATGTAAAAAAAAAATTCAGGTAAATTTCGAACTTTTGATCTATAGAAGTGCCCTTTCGTGTGCGTCTCCCCCCCCCCCTTTGCCTTTTTATCGTTCCGGCGTCCCTGGTGATACATTTTTAAAATTTACTACTAATGGTTTTTTTCAAACTGGTAAATCTTTTTAAAGCACCCATTCTTTCGTCTCTCTGTATTTTATCAAAGCCCCCCTTTTCAGGTTTTAAAAAATTTGAAGGCCGCCCCAGTTTTTCCTCAATGCCCCGGTATAATAAAAATTATAAAAACAAAATACAGAAAGACGAAAGAATGGGTGCTTTAAAAAGATTTACCAGTTTGAAAAAACCATTAGTAGTAAGTTTTAAAAATGTATCACCAGGGAAAAATTATACTAAAGGTAAATTGCTAAATTGGGACTATTTATTGGAATATTAGAAAGGAGAACTGTTTGCAATGTGACAGCTGATCTACTATCATGCAAAGTCGGCATTTAAAGGCCCTGTCAGACTATTGCGTATCGTACTAGCGTGCCAGCGTATGAAAAATATCACTCATTCGCCGGTATACGATGACATACGCTAGGGGTACCGCGTCGGGAATAGGTTGTATACGTTTCAAGCACGGTCACGTACGGTGGCATACGCTGGCATACGGCGAGGCAGAAAATTTTTTTTAAGCATGCTCAAAAATTTTGTGCGTATCGGACGTATGCTTTATACGATAAGCATACTCTATAGGCACACGCTGAATACGCCAGATGTACGGTTCTCATACGCGGGCATTTGAAAGGATTTTTGTGCGTATGAAAATTATTTCATTCATTTTCTTACGCTTCTCATACGTTTCTCTCATACGCGATAGTGTGACAAGGAGTTAAGTTGTAACGTGGCGACAAATGCTAAAACAATCACGCTACTGATGCTAGTAAGCGATGGTTTTCCCCTCAAGAGTTTGTGAAACTTTTACTATTCTGTTGCTTAGTTCATTAGGATGCATATATCTAAAATAGAGAGCATTTTGTGACAATTCCAATGTGTGGTTTATTTTTATCTTGTCAACCTGTGAGTTCGTCGGCTATTTCGCGACGAACTTTTTGACTCTTCAAGTGCATTTTACGAGATCTCTCAAATCGCATCTTTTCAGTAGCCGATTTTATTGCATTTCACCGAAGTTGAAGCATAGTAGATTTATTATATTCTAGTCATTTTATCCGAATCCATGCAGCAAAGCTAAGTGCGAATTGTGACATTGAAGTAAAGCATATTTTTGCATGCGAAAAATTGTCCAAGTTCAAAATTCTGTAAAATACTCAAAGTCGAAATTCAATTATTTTACTTTGGAAAACAAACAATTCAATTGAAATACAGTAAAATTATTTTATCCATTATTAAAATTATTTCAAAATTACATATTCATATTTTTCAGTTTTAAAACAAACATACAAAAAATGTTTGCTTTGCTTCGGCCATTACCTATAGGATTCCCGATTCCGGACCGTGGACAAATATCGTAAAATTTCGCCCGCTGCTGCAGCCAATCAGATTGCAGAAAACGCTAGGATTCCGCCCGCTGCTGATTTACAAAAAAATAAATAACAATACTTTGTACAACAAATAGTTGAGTACGTACTTCTGAGCATTTTGTGTATCCAGTCGTTTGGAGATTTCTGATATGTTACACATACGTTTCCTTCTTGGTATTTCAGATCCACGAGATCTCTGGGTAAATAGTGAGTCCCCTGCATATACCGCGTCTGCTTCATAAAGAACGAACTATATTTATAATCATAGCCTTGTGCTTGCCACTCAGACCAATATTTGTCGAGAAATGCATGATGCAAAAAGAACTCTGGTGTCCAGGCTGAATATGTATTGGTCATTGTACTTTTCCACCCAAAAGCTTTGTTGTGAACATTATCGTGCCAACTTTGAAAAATGGTTAGCCAGTCTTGAAACTCGCGAGGCTTTAGTTTCAGCAAAATTGCAAGATGTAAAGCGCTTGGCATACCTGGTCCAGGGTACGTGTAATTTAAATATCGTCTTAATTGTAAGGCAGCATCTGGGCCATATGAAGGAACCATTTGCCATTCAGGTTCTTTAAATGGACCAGTGATTACTGTATGATTAACGCCATCTCCATCTCCGCCAAACGACCATTCATTGTCATCCCAAAGATTAACATCAAATGGATTTACCATTACCATGCTCCAATCCCAGTAAACTAAAGTAACATTAGGCTCGATTTCTCTAAGAAAATTTTTATATTGTAAAATAAACCAACGGTGCCAAGGGAGAAAGAAAACTGTACAATGAAGGACTTTGCAAAAATAATCGACATGCAAATGCCCAAAATCATAAAACCGTTTGCTAGTACGTGGATCAGTTCTAATAGCTTTTACTGCATGGATGTATCGACGTCTTTCTTCTCTGGACAAGGTCATAATATCCCTACGTATACGATGCTCGCAGGGAGATTCGGCAGCTAAATCTAGAATGAAAATAATTAATACCTACAATTACAATAAACAAGGTCAAGTAGAACCAAATAATTAATGGGTTGTATTCATTTAATTAAATCTATTTGCAAGGATTAATACGTCTATGAAACTGCACGCAGCATAGAAAATTCCAATTTCTCATATTTTCTTGTTTTCAACAAAACTTACATGCAAGTGTTAAAATGGGTGGAAACTTGTTACGGCTGTTACAAAGCGGTAACTTGCGTTGAGAAAACGACCGAACATGCATCACTTGGAATAACTATATACATGAGTTTTGCGTGTAGTTTCAACGTTCAAAATAACGTCTCGAGACCCATCTTAAAAGAAAGGTGGAGGATATTAGAGAGGAGAGGTTCATATTTATAGAAGCATATGCCTAGCTAAACAAGAAATAATACGTTAAATGTATATAACTGGTATTCTCATAGATTGTTTTGTTTAAGTTACCTTTATGTTTTATTATGTTTCCCTCAAATTCTCGACTACGCATTTCAAAAGCTCTCTTTTCAATACATTCACATTCTCCCAAGCTTGGGCATTCTGCAGATAAAAATATGTAAATTTAAATTTTACTGTACTTAATAATAAAGTTTAAATTGCGAAATTACACTGCGAATACAGTAAAATTGAGTTATTCGGCCAGGATAATGGAAAATCGTGACACGGCAAGAGTTTCTGGGAATACTCATCGAAGTATTTTGTACATTTTTAGACGTAAACACTTTGAACATTGCATTTTGTTTTGGCATGCGCATCGCATTTGTAGGATTATAGTAATAATTCTTGGGTTCTTGTCAACCATTTTGAAAACATTGGTACGTACAGCCGCTGATTGTTGCTTATATAGGGAAAAATCGCGCCAAAGTCAAATTTAAATCGCGCTAAAGTCACTATAATTTGATATGTATTTTTGTAGCTATGGATTTAGAAACTACATTGTGTTTAATTCATTACAAGATTGTAATTAATAAGGAAATAGTGGCCAAAGTCTCTAACTGATATAAAATTAACTGTGAAGTTCGCTTGATATGCCTTGTAATGTCTGGCTGTATTATACTGACGCCCCAAATTTAGCAAATTTTTGAGCCATTTCATTGACTGTCCCTCATTTCTTACCGTTTATCACTTTATTCGTTTTTGTTAGTTAAACACCAAGTAAACCTTTTTTCATAATATTTTTTTTATCATAAGATAGCCTAATTATAATAAAAAACCGATTTGAGTGCCATGTTTTCAAATTTGAGAACAAAATGCTTATATACGCGCATTGATTTAAAAACTGCATTGATAAAGTGTTCTTTTAAATTTGACGAGCTAATTTGAGCAATAATTTTTCCATTAGTAATTGAATAATCACCGAGCAAAACACGATCATTTTTGTCTTGTGAAACAAAAGTCATTTACCACGAATCATATTGTCATCCGTCGTAAAATACGATTTTTATTTCACTCCGCTACTGTACGAAAATTTATATAGCTACGTATATAATAAGTCATAAAAAGATTTTTCCATGCAGAAAGGTATATGCCTAAGTATGATATTATAATAATGTCTACCATGATGTTTCATATGTGTCGGCAAGAGAATTTGACAGAATTTAACAGAGATTTTGCAAAAAATTAATTGTCAATAGCGTAACGCCTAAAGGTAGTTGTACCGGCCGCCAAGAACTGGTGTTGCTGTTTCTAAAGGTAGTCCTAATGGTAGTTGTACCTGCCTGGAATTGGCGCTAACTACGACCCAGAGCTAAGTTATAGGATTTTTGAAGGTTTTATAAATTAAATGAAAATTGATTATATAGCAACATTTCATAAAAAAGCAGATTACTAATTATAATTATAAAGTTGTGGGTACCCGTCCCTCTCCCCCTTCTCCTGACCCTCTGAATAGTAGATCAACAGGACAATAATCTGAAAAGGTGTATAGGCTTACCATTTGTACCAAGCTGTTCATCAAAAGTGCATAGTTCCTCTGGAGTTATGTTGTAGGGGTTCTTAGTTGGGTTTGATCCTTCAATGATTGCCAACACAACAATATTTACCAGGACAAACCAAAGTGTTCTTGGGACCAAATTTTTTATCATGTCGCCTAAATAACAAAATATCGTTTCAGTGTAGTAAGGCTCGAGGCCGGAATTAAGGGTATATAACTCTGATCATGACGTGAACACATCACACTTGGACTCAATATCAAAGAACGCAGACTTGACACCTCTGGACTAAGGAATTTAAGTCAAGTCTTGTACGAGTTCGCCACTTCAATTTTATAAGTAATAGCATAGAAAGAAGCGAATTAGCTATTGAAAACATCCCACCCGATGAGGGTCGTTTAGTAAAATTCCCTTAGGCGCCGCCCGATGGGGATCATTTAGTTAAATGACCCGAATCGAGCGGCGCTGCAATTTTTTTCCGTAGACAGTTAGACTGCTCTTTGATAGTCGGACGCATCATTGATTCACGCCCTCAAACCAAATATTCAGCAGATACTTTTCTTATTAGATGCGCATTTCAAGTGTGTCTTGCGCACGCAATTAGTGATTTCTAAATATTGTATTGCTTGGTTGAGATGTCAAAATCTGAGCAGGACACATTGTGAATTCATCGCTTGCGTGGTGATGACATCTGACATTTTATTAAGTTATATTGCCATTTCCCACTTGCTTTTCTTTGCTTTTGTAACAGTTTTTTGTTACTTTTTTCTTTGCTTCTGCAATAACTCTCTATAATAAACCATTATTATTATTATTATTATTATTATTATTATTATTATTATTATTATTATTATTATTATTATTATTATTATTATTATTATTATTATTACTATTATTATTATTATCGCCGCCCGATGAGAATCATTTAGTAAAATGACGGGTCAATCGAGCGGCGCTGCAATTTTTTTCCGTAGACAGTTAGACTGCTCTTTGATAGTCGGACGCGTCATTGATTCACGCCCTCAAACCAAATATTCAGCAGATACCTCAACCGCCCTCAAACCAAATATTCACGCCCTCAAACCAAATATTCAGCAGATACCTCAAACCAAAAATTCAGCAGATAAAATCTATTTTAAAAAGTCACCACATTCCTGACGAAATCACTGGTATGATAGAAAACCTTTACACTGATTATGGTATCTCAATCTTGACGAAGAATTTTATAACCATACCGATATCTGTAGAACGGGGCGTACTGCAGGGAGACTGTTTGTCCGCCTTGCTTTTCAATTTATGCGTGAATTCACTCATTAACACGATGAATGATGAAAGAATACAGTGCCTTGGTTATGTTAATGATATATCCTTAAACCCTCGTCATTGGTTCCAATTTGCAGACGATGCTGCAATTAAATCTGCACATAACGAAGACAATCAACTACTGTGTAATGCATTTAGTAAATGGTCCTCTTGGGCAGACTTATATATCCGAGTAAATAAGTGCCACACTTTTGGGATCAAAAAGTTTGGGACAAAAGCAGTCCAGTATAAACCTACTTTAAAAATCTCTGGTCAACAGGTTCCCCCAATCGAGGACGGTGAAAGTTTTATGTATTTAGGTAAACAATTCAATTTTGAAATGGATTGTACTGAAACCAAAATTGAGATCCTTGATGAAATCCAACACTACTTAAAGAAAATTGATCTTATCCCAATAAATACGTGTGGTTCAAAGTTATGTCTACTCAAAGTTCTTCTGGCGTTTTTCAATCTACCCGCTTACTATAAGCTGGATACATTCTAATCTGGACTCTATAATTTCCAAATATATCCGGAAATGGCTCCAGATCCCAATCAGCGGTAACATTAGTCATCTAAAGCTTCCTAAATTACAACTGGGAATTGATTTCTGTTCCCCCTCTGACATATATAATCAATGTAAACTGACAGTGCGCAGAATCTTGAGGACTTCTGTCAACTCCGATATTCAAAAGATATATACCAAAACGGGCGGCTGCTGGTATCTCTGAACAATATATGTTAAGAAACCCTGCAAAAATGATTCTGGTAAAGAAAAACCTTAACGAAATTTGGTCAAACTTTGTAGAACTAAAAGAACAATCCGTGATCATTACCTGCTTAACTGATACTTGCTATAAGAAGATGATTAAAGTATGGCACGAAATTGTCACTTGAATGCCCAGAAATATAGTATGCTTTGCTAGGAGAGCGTTAATTTTAAGTTTAGGAAATAATTCTAACCTAAAGCGCTGGAACATTCGTGACTCCGCCAACTGTGAGCTGTGCAACAAGTTACAAACCCAGCTACACGTTTTTTCCAACTGCAAGGTAGCCCTAGAACAACAACGCTATACTTGGCGGCATGACTCGATTCTGATGACTATTATTCATCACTTAAAAGTCGCAGTTGGTGCAGATCTTCGACTGTTTGCGGACTGTCCTAATTCAGGTACGACCTGTACTTCAACTTTATTTCGAACGCTAAGACCTGATATAGTGGTGGATTTTAAGGGTTCTGTATATGTGGTTGAATTAACTGTTCTCGGCGTGTTATGCGTTTGAAGTTATTACACTTGAAGTAACCACTCTAGGGTTTGTGTCGAAAGATATTAACATATTTCGTAGATTATTACGAACACTTGAAATGAACGACGAACGTATTATTTAAAAATGTATGGAGGTAGCTCTGAGAGCAACATTCTACATTTACTGCAGAAGAAATAAGCCGTGGAATAACCCAGACTTACTGAATTTTTATTAGCTACTATTGATATAAAGTGTAGAGAATGGACCTATCTGTCTAATATAGTGAACTGTTTCTCTATTTTCCTGACTTAATTGAAAGTCTAATTATGTGATATATTTGTATAAATTATCATGTTATTAATAAAGATTTCTGTTGTTTAAAAAAACATTATTATTATTATTATTATTATTATTATCATTATTATTATTATTATTATTATTATTATTATTATTATTATTATTATTTGACCTTGACTCCCCATCGTATCAACAAGTCACGAATATAATACGCAGAACGAAGGCATCTGGCTCCCCATGTCCCCTTGATCAGCTATCTATTATATGTTTTAAACGCTGTCCTTTCCTAAGAACATATTTAACTGACCTTATTCGTGCCGTGTGGCTATCTGGAACCATCCCTTCAGAATGGAAGAAAGCTTGCACAATACTAATCCATAAAAAAGGCGATACTAATACCCCGTCCAATTTCCAACCCATCACACTGGAGACCATACCATTAAAAGTATTCACTTCCTGCCTACGTAACGCAATGTATTCATTCCTAACCGTTAATAACTTTATAGAACATAATATTCAAAAAGGATTCACACCTAACATGTCTGGCACCTTAGAACATACTGCACAAATGGCCAATATAATCAATAAAGCCCGAATCAAACAACGCTCACTAGTCATCACCCTACTTGACCTCAAGAATGCTTTTGGTGAAGTTCATCATAATCTGATCACATCCGTACTTGATTACCACCATATTTCTGAACATGTTAAATTGATAATTGAAAGTCTATATACCGATTTTAAAACTTCAATAATTACATTTGAATTCCGTACCCCCTTCATACCAGTTCGCCGTGGAGTATTGCAAGGTGATTGCCTGAGTCCTCTTCTCTTCAACATGTGTTTCAACACCTTTATACAACACATAAAAACAGATAAATATCGTCAATTCGGCTTCTCCTTACAGTTTCTAAATCCCATCCACTGGTTTCAGTTTGCTGATGATGCCGCCGTCATAAGTAGTCAAGAATCCGAAAATCAACATCTTCTAAACCGGTTCTCCATTTGGTGCCAATGGTCCAACATGATTATTCGGGTTGATAAATGTAGTACCTTTGGCATCAAAAAAGCTCTAACAAAATCAATCCAATACCTGCCTAAACTACTTATTAACAAGCAACTAATTCCAAAGATCAATATCGGTGAGGCTTTTCAATACTTAGGAAGATACTTTAGTTTTAATATGTCAGACGAACACCACAAATCTGAACTAATCTCACTCGTTGAAGAACTAATGGCAGATATTGATTCCAAACCATTACATCCAAAAAATAAAATCCTCCTCTACAGTCGATATCTTCTGTCAAAATTATCCTGGCATTTTACAGTTTCTAGCGTATCGAAAACGTGGGTCACCGAAAACATTGATTCCAAAGTCAACAGTTATATCCGTAAATGGCTTGATATACCTATATCTGGAACGTAACGCTAAGCAGTGTTTTCCTAACCCGCAACAAGTTTGGCCTCAGTATTTCTCCCCCATCATATCTGTCAAATTTATTCAATGTCAAACTGTTCTCCGTAAAGCCCTAAAAACATCCCCAAACAAAGCAATTAACGATCTTTGGAAAGCAACTAGCAACAGCAAAAATATTCAGTATGACGTTTATAACTCCACTAAGCAAGTTCTCAAGGACTTTCGCTCTGGCCAAGAGGATAAACTGCATACTCAATTAACCTGTCAGGGCTCTTTCTTCACTAATATAACAAAGTTCTCACTGTCCCAACTCACTAAAATTTGGTCTGCGTGCCAATCGAACCTTCCGAAAAATATATTCAACTTTACAGTTCGATACATCAATAACTCCCTTCCAACGCGCCAAAACCTTGCAAGATGGGGTTTATCACCAACTTCAGACTGTTCGCGATGTCTAGCTCCTGAAACACTTCTGCACGTAGTAGCTGGTTGCCAATCGTATCTAGAACGATTCACGTGGAGACATGACTCCGTTCTAAACTTTCTCGCAACAAGCCTGCAGACCGTAAGCGGCTCACATCTTTACGTGGATCTCCCAGGGTACAACAGTCCATCAATCATCACTGGTGACACCTACCGTCCAGATTTGCTTCTTTCAACCTCAACCGGAACACTCTACATTGTTGAACTTACAGTTGGCTTCGAATCAAATCCTCAATAAAACGTTGAGCGTAAAAAGTCAAAATATAAAGAATTAATTAGTGAACAAAATGAACATTTTAACTTAGTAAAATTTATAAATCTTTCGATTAGTTCTCTTGGTGTTTTCAGTAAAGAATGTTCTACTTTCATAGAAATGCTTAATGATTTTGGTTTTCAAAAGCAACATCAGAATTACTGTATTAGAAGAATGACGATGATTGCAATCCGAACAACGTACTTTATATTTTGTTGTCGAAACAAGGAATGGATGAATCCGGAACTGTTAAGTGTTTAAACGTTGTACTGTCATTTTTTTATCTTAATAGTATAATTTTTGCATATATAATCAGTGATTTAAGTAGCCAGTTGTAAATTACCTGATATAAGTGAGATTTGCAATTGTATATATAAGCTAAATATCCATTTAATAA